ATTACAGGCATGAGCTACCAAACCCTTTCTCCTATAGGTTTTGTTGGGATAAGGAAACATGGCTGTTAGTCAGTGATCTAGGTGTGTGATCTTGGATCGGATTAAGCTAGCTGGGATGAATGGGATTTGTTTTAAGTATTGGATATGGAAGATTGAGCAAAGAATGGAATTTTAGAACTAAACATGGCAAACACTGGTTTGGTTAAAAAAAAAAATTCAGTTTTAAACATGCTAAGTTTGAGATGCCTATTAGACATCAAGCGCAGCTCTCTAATGGGCATTTGTATAAATTCTAACCTGAAAATAGGAGAATTTGGACGGGAGATGTAAAACTTTTGATCGCCTGAAAGTATGTTTTGTGATGTGATCTAAGCCCAAGAGACTAGGACAAACAAGACTCAAAAGTACCCAGGGCTCATGGGTAGGAAGAAGGATTCAGTGGGGTACTGTGAAGCAGGGGAGTTTGAAGAGAGGCATACAAGCCAAATGAGGAAGTGCCTGTAGACCTCTGATCAGGCAGAGTCAGTCACTAATTTTTAAGTTTTTTTCTTTTGGCTTTTTGAGAAAGCACCCTGCTATGCCATACTGGCTGCCCTCAAACTCAGTGATCCTGCCTCTTGCCTCCCTAGAACTGGGATCGCAGGTGTGTGATCACTAAAATTTCATCTGACAAGGAAATTGACGGGTAGCTTGAGTGGAAAAAATCTGTTTAACTTCAGCTAGACTGTTTCTTTTGAAATTTTTGAGAACAGATGAATGAACTTAGGGACAGTGTACCTCCTAGGACCTCAGAGGAAGCTCATGGAATTTTAGGACACTCGAGCCTGAGTTTCATAGCTCAGCACTCACTACTTGTGGAGGCCCAGGAGTCTGTGATGATAAACTGTACCTGCTGCTGAAGTGTCTGGACAAGACCAAGGTTTTAATTCAGGCTGCTACAGAGGTGGAAAGTGGTGATACAGGGCTAAGGGTGTAGAGATTTTTCTGGCAATGGAATTGATCTGGGGGTTGTAGATTGTGAAGGTGGATGAGAAGCTGTTAGTCAAGCAAAGGTAAAGAACATTTCAGAGATTCACATGAAAGAAATGTGAAACTCAGTAGTTTAGATTTGAGGTGGGTTTGATGTCATGAATCTCTTGGATGAGCTGGTAGGTGGTCTAGTAGGAGGGCCCTGTGTAGATTCTGGGGAAGATGTGCAGTGCCATAGGGAGCCCATGGGAGGGCTCCTGCTGGTCCCAGCCTTTGGGGGTGTGGTGGTGAGGGAGCTGGTGTAGGTAGGTGGTTTGGCTTCCTTACTATAGGATGCATCAAACCTGATACAGATTGTTCACTATGTAGTTGTGTCCTGCCTTAGCCTCCCGAGTGCTGGGGTTACAAGTATGTGTGCCACTACACCCAACTTATGTTTTCTTTTACAAGTGTTAAAACTACTTGGTAAATATCCTTATTGCTTAGCTGAGGACTTTGAAGCTCAGTGATTGGGTGATTTTCCCTAGTTCTAAAGGGAGACAAAACTGGGTTGGAGTTTGGCTCTGTCCATCACCAAAACTTATGCTCAGAACACTCACATTTCTTGTAAGGTTAAACAACTGTCTACTTCTTGTCCCCAAAGATCAGTTAGTTGAGGGCTGGGGCTATATTTCCCTTCCTGTTTAGCACAGCGCAGAGCAAGATGCCTTGCAGGAGGTCCTCACTTGTTAGGGAGCTGAATAACTGAGTACAAACTCAATCAACCTTGAGGGAAAAACGTGATAAATGCTATTAAGAGAGGACCCAGTTAGCACTGGAATGTAGAAGATGAACATGTAGGTTGGATCCTGTTTTAATCTGCTTGGGCAGAGCACTGGATGGCTTCAGCAGTGGGCATTTATTTCTCACACTTGTGGCGGTCTGGTAGTTGTGGCTAGTCCAACATCAAGCACTAGATTCTTGGAGTGTCGGACCAGGGTGTTTCCTGATGCCTAGACGGTGCCTTCTCGCTGTGTCCTCAATGGTAGATGGAGCAAACCAGTTTCCTTGGACCTAGTTTATAAAAGCACTGATTATTTGAGCATGGGCTCTCAGCACAGCCAAAGGCTTTACCTAAAGTCTTCACTTTTCTGGGTGTAGTAGCAGCGCCTGGAATCTCAGCACTAGGGAGGAAAGGGGAGGAGGACTGCACATACCAGGCCAGCCTGGGTTGCGTAGTGATACTCTGACTAAAAAAAATCCCCAAGTTAAAACAGACAAGAAAGAAAGAAAAGAACCAAACCAAAGCATCACCCTGGTGCCAACCATCACCCTGGTGCCAAGCGTGGACTCCCCAGCATTTAGGAGGCTGAGGCAGGAGGATCACTATGAATTCAAGGCCAACCTGAATTAACTAATGAGACTTTGTCTCAAAAATAAAAGATAAAAAGTCATCCTGTGTATAAGGATTTCAACATATGGATTTCTTGGGTAGCAGGTATTTAGGCCATAGCAGCTCCTGTAGTATAATAACTGTGAAGTATAATCCCCATTTTACAAATGAGGCAATTGAAACACAAAGACTAAGAAGTTTTCCTAAGATTGAACAGCCGGTGAGATTCAAATCAGATAGTGTCTCAAAGGCAGCTTTTCCACTCAAAAATACATTCTAGCAATAAAGAAATACTTTAGTAAATGTTGGTATTGTGCAAAATAGTTTAGAGAAATAATTTTCAATTGAAAGCAGAAAATTGCATATCTAGTACAATTTTACTATGTTAAAGAGAAAATACGCAGAAAAAGTACTGAAAGAAGAAAATAAAATACAGAAAGAAGAAAACATTTCAAAGGGCTGACCAAATAGCTCAGCAGATTCAAGCGCCTGCTTAGGCAGACGCAGGGGCCGGGATTTTCATCCCCGGGCCTGCCATGCTGGCCCCACCGCCAGGGTGCGCTGAGATGCCAATTGAGACTGGGCGTGGTGGTGCGGCCTGTAATCCCAGCTCTTGGGAGGCTGAAATCAGGCGGATCACTGGATCACTTACAACTTGGAGTCTGATCTACACAGTGAAACCCTGTAGATCATGTAGACCCTGACCTAAAATCCAAAACAAACAAACAAATTCAGTATGTTAGGAGTGACTGCCTTTAAGTGATAGAATTATGGATGATGTGATTTGAAGTGGCCTCAGATTCCTTTAGGGCTAAGTATCCCGTGACTATGATTTACAGTGTCTCTGCTCTCAGTACAGTTAAATATGCTGTCTCTCTACTCAGACCATCTCTTTCTAGTTTTAGATTGCTCTGACAGTAAGTTTGTTCCTTGTGTCACTATGATTTCCTTCTGCCGATTTTGATTGCCACCTATTGATATTACTTCCATGTAATCCTTTCCAAACCAAGTCTATCTTTCCGAGAAAAAAATATTGAAGTCTGAGGGTTCTTGGGTTTTCTTAGAATCTTATCTTCAGGATACCATTCTTGATTGTTTCAGTATTTCTCTAAGGTATAGTTTAGAAGGATCTTTGGTGTTCTCTGAATTAGTTCTACTTCGCATAGTTCCTGATGGCACTTACTTGTACCTGGCAGCAGCACCTCGGTAGTGTGCTTCACAAGGCAGGGATGCAGGCAGTTGTTGAATGAATGAATGAATGAATGAATGAATGAATGAATGAGCAGATTTAGTAATAGCTTTACTTTGATTGGGCAGCATCTCTGCTTTTTCCCCCCCTGTATTTAGGACAGGGTCTACAGGGTCTACAGGGTCTCACTATGTAGATCAGACTCGTAGTGGTCCTCCTGTTTTCAGCCTCCCAGGTGCTGAGATTACAGGCGCGTACCACCAAACCCAGTCTTAATCGTCATCTTGGTGGGCCCCAGGGATGGGGCCGGCGCAGCAAATGGGGGATCGAACCCTGGCCGTAGCGCTCTGCCTAAGCAGGCACTTTAGTCCTCTGAGCAATTAGGCCGGCCCTCTTCACTTCTTAGGATCTCACAGGATTTCACTACATAGATTGGATTTGTAGTAATCTGTCTGTTTTTAGCCTCCCAAGAGCTGGGATTACAGGTGTGCACCACCAAGCCCAGTCTCAGTTGTCATCTCAGCGGCCCCCGGGGGCAGGGCCAGCACTGCACACCTGGATTCAAATCCCTGCTGCTGCGTTCTGCCTAAGCAGGCGCTTTAGTCCACTAAGCTATCTGACCGGCCAATGAGCCCTTCTTCTGTGATTCCAGAAAAACCAGAGACCTTAGCCTTCAGACAGCAGTGTCTGCATAGCTAATACCCACAACAGTGTAAAGGTGACCAGGTTTGCATAACTTCTACCTGTGCTAGTTCTTGTAGAAAACTATCTTTGATAGTAATTGGTACCTTAAGGATATGTGCTTTTGGGCTGACAGAAGAAAAACTCTTCTGGTGGTGATTAAACAGGTATGCTGATCCTGTAACAGCTTCCCTCCCCGAGACTCTACCACTAAGCACTGAGCATTAAAAGGAAGTACTGGAAAAATCAGGAACCAAAGATATGTGGCTTTTTCAAACCTTGAACAGCAGCCCATAAAGAGCAATATCTCATTATATTAATGCCCTAAATAATGACAAGATTGCAAATTAAAGGATTAGTTGACAGAGCAGTCAGCATTCATGGCAGCACAGACAAATCAATAAAATAATAAAATAAAAAGAAATGGTGGGCCGGGGAGATGGCTCAGTAGCATAAGCAGTTGCCTGGAAAGCACAAGGGCCTGAGTTCAATCCCCAATACCGCAAAAAAAAAAAAAAAAAAAAAAAAGAAAGAAAGAAAGAAAAAAGAAATGGGACCTGTCTCTTGGCAGTCTATTTAGTTGAGTTTCAGCCTGGGCCACCTTGTGTCCTCCTTTCATGTACCCATGAATCCCATTTCATGGTGACACTTGTGCATCTGTTCTGCCTTTGATGATAATCAACTCTTATTAACATTCGTGAAGATTAAGTGTAGACATCTAGCATAGATGACGTATGCAGCCAAACCTAAAAGTATCGTTTTTGTGAAAACGATTCATGTTTATTTATTTAAAATATGGAACGCTTCAGGAATTTGCGTGTCATCCTTGTGCAGGGGCCATGCTAATCTTCTCTGTATCGTTCCAGTGTTAGTATGTGTGCTGCCGAAGTGAGCATGATTCATAAAGATAGACGTGGCCCATTCTGCCAGCACTGACACCAGCACTTGGTGGGCCCATGAGTGTTCACCCTGTATACAAAGCTGTAAGAGCCAAGTGTCATTGTTACAGGAGTTTGCTTGGGCTAGTTCTGTCAAATACGTTATCTTCTGGAGTTCCAGGCAGTCCTTTGAGTAGAGTGGCTTTGTTAATAGAGTCCACTCAGTCTTACAGGGAGAAGGCATCTTTTCTTTTTTAATAATTTTATTTATTTATTTATTTATTTTATTGTTATTATTATTATTATTATTATTATTATTTTGTGGAACCGGGGATTGAACTCAGCCCCTTGCGCTTGCCAGGCAAGTGCTTATCCTATCGAGCTATCTCCCCGGCCCCCAATGACACCACCTTCCACCCACAAAGGCATCTTTTCTATCCTGGACTAAAGAACAGAACATCCAACTTTTTTGTGGGCCACTGCCTTTCACATTTTGGTATGGTTTTTTTTTTTTTTTTTTTTTTTTTTGTTGCAGGGTCTCACTATGCAGCTTGGACTCATAGTGATCCTCCTGATTTTTTTTTTTTTTGCAGAACTAGGGATGTGAACTCAGGCCTTTGTACTTGCCAGGCAAGTGCTTGTTCTGCTGAGCTATCTCCCCAGCCCCAACATTTTGGTATCTTTTTATCTTAACCTTCTGTTAAGGTAGAAGCCATTCACAGCCCTTAAAAGGACACTGTGCTCTTGCTGGGTGTGGTGATGCACACTTATAATTCTAGCACTAGGGAGGTTGAGGCAGGATGATCAACAGTTTGAGGCCAGTCTGGATTACATAGCAAGTCTGAGGCCAGCATGGACAACATAGTAAGACCCTGTCCGAAAAACAAAAAGCAAACACACACCAAAAGAAGGAAATGAACTAGCAAACCCTCTACTGTTCTACATCTGACTTGTTATCTTTTGAATGTTGCGTTTGAAAGATGTCTCAGGGCTGGTCAAATAGTTCAGTGGATTAAAGCACCTGCAAGCAGGCACAGGGGCCAGAGTTTGATCCTGGGGCACACTGAGACGGCAATTGAGACTGGGCGTGGTGGTTTGTGCCTGTAATCCCAGCTCTTGGGAGGCTGTAAACAGGTGAACCACTACCAGTCCAATCTAGTAATGAGACCCTGAACACCCTGTAGGCCCTTTCCTAAAAATACAAAAAAGAAAAAAAAAGATGTCTCAAGAGCTGAAAATTTATAACACCAGGACTATATTTTTGTTTGTATTTTATAGAATAATCTCACATACATCATCTCTACAACATCATCTTCACGGCAACTTTGCCTGGCGAGCAGATCAAGGGTCATTCTACATGTTTCATAGGTCAGAAAGCAGACTGGTAGGGATTAAGTGAAGATACATCTAGTAAGTCATGGAGCCATAATCTGATTGCCTGAGTCCAAGACCCCAGCATTCTTCACTACGCCATATCTCTGGTGCTATTTACCCTACTTCTTTGTAGGTTTTTGTTGTTGTTTTGTGTTTCTATATTTTCTTTCACTAATTATTTAGACCCAATTTCCTTCAAAGTTTTCCATGGGCCAGGAACCCTGAGATTCATTATCTGAGTCCAAATATTCCATCATCTGTGTTACCAGGTACTAAACAAAGCCTGGTGGTGATGACTGCTTCTCATCTGGACCTTCACAATAGGTTCCTTCTTAATGATTTTAATTTGTTTCTGAAAACCCTGCCACTGATTTAAAAGCTGTTAAATAATCACTTTTATGAGCAAAATTGATGTGTTCTATCACTGCACAAAATGTTCAAGTTTCCCAAAGAGGAAAAATATATCAATTGAGAAGTGAATAATAAAAGCTTAGAAAACCAGTGGGCAATAATTTGAGGTGTTTGGATACCAACTAATGTACACAAATTCCTGTCTTGCACTAACTTCTAGAGTTAGCTCAGACCTTACAAGTTAAAGGGCGAGATTCACAATGAGGTTGCCATCATTTCAAATGCCAGCTCCACTTTGGGAGTCTCTGGATGTTCTGGTTAAAACATGAAGTGTCCCCCAAAGCCTCATGTACTGGGGGCTTCATCTCCAATGAAGCAATGTTCAGAGTTGGGGTCATGAGCTGACAGGTTAGAACTCAAAGTTCTCCAGGCACCCTGCCCCCAAACTCTCTCCCCCTTGGTCCCACGCAGAGCCAAACCCTGAACCTCAGAACAGGTCCACCTGACTCTGATTCAACCACAAGGAAGACAAATAATATCCACCTGTGACTTGGCTTCCTACAAAGTTTCCTGTTCCCCCTTTTTTTGGTGCTGTCTTGGTCTGCAAGGCAGCTTTCCGTGTGAGCTTCCATCTCTGCGTGAGCTTCCAATAAAACTGCTTTTACTTAAGTTAATATGCCTGGTCGGGTTTAGCGTGGGTTCGGCTGCCTCACTTTTTTGACCTTTCACTGACTTCATTTGGTTAATGAACTCCATTATTGAGTTCATAAATGAATGGGCTATGAGGCCTGGCTGGAGGAAGTAGGTCACTGGGGATGTGCCGTGAAGGGTGCGTCATCTGTTCTCTGCTCTTTCCCAGGGCTTCCTGGCTTCTGTGACTGGAGCAGCCTTGCTCTGCCATGATATCTCTGGCTCTGAGCTGATTACAGACTGATCTCTCTGAAACTGTGAGCTAAAAATTAAACGTTCCTCCTTTAAGGTGTGTATGTTGGGCGTTATATCCCAGCTACAGAAAGCAGATCAACACACTGGGCATCTGCATTGCTGACCAACTGGTCAGAAATTTGGAAGTTTCCCATAAATCCCTTCGGGCTTGACATTTGTTAGAATGGTTCACAGAACTCAAGAGAAACACTTTTTAGTTTTAGAATAAAGGATAAAAATCAGGACCAGCCAAATGAAGAGACATACAAGGTGAGGTATGAGAGGGTCCTAGACACAAAGTTTCTGTATCTTTTCCTGAGGGAATTGGTGTCTCCTTCCTGTCACATTGCTATGTTCAGCAACCAGGAAGCTCCACTGTGCCTCCTGTCTACAGTCTTTGTTGGCCTTTCATTATGTAGGGATGATAGACGCAAGACAAGTGACTGGACTGAGTCTTTCTGTCCCACCCCCTACTCGAGGTCAGTTTGGCTCTCAACTCCAGCCCTCTGGTCACATGGTGGATGTTCTGGTGACTGATCCCTATCCTGAGTCATCGCTTAGCATGAACTCAGGCATCCTCCAAGGGGTACCTGAATAACAAATATACTTGTACTATTCCAGAAATTCCAAGGATTTTAGATCACCCTCTGAGGAGCCAGGGACAGATGTCAAACTCTTTAATTTATAGCAGAAATCATATAAAAATGTATTGTACTTTATGTAACTCAATGAATACAATTGAACTTTCTAACTGTGGAGTGTTGGTTGGTTAAAGAGAAGCTTGAAGGGCCACTCTTTGGAAAATGTATTTTTTCTGTACTATTTTTTGCCTTTTTCAAAAAGATAGTCTCACTATGTAGTTCAAGCTGGCCTTGAACTCACTTGTGTAGCCCAGGAGATCCTTCTGACTCAGCCTTCTGGGTGCTGGGATAACAAGTATGTGAAATCTTGCTCAGTGCTCTGCAGTATTTTCTGTGCAAATTTTCTTTTAATGTTTCTGATGCTCTTTATCATTTTGTACCATAACTTTTCTTGCAAATAAGGTCAGAGTGTAAGGAAACATCTTTAGGGCATAATAAACATTAAGCTCATGGATATAGCACTGTATTCACAGACAAAAGTGTTGGTAGCTGGTTTTTTTTTTCACCCTACTCACTTGGAGCATGTACCCAAAGCATTCTTGGAGCATTCAAACTTGGAGCACAATATTCATTTATTCCATATGAAAGTCTTTGTTTTATAAATTGGTATTTGTCTTAGTTACTCTTCTCTCGTTGCTGGGACAAATACCCGACACTCAAAATGAAGGAAGGAAAGGTTTATTTAGCTCACAGCTACTGGAGGTTTCAGTCCATATTCATCTGGGTCCAACGCAGAACAGCACAGAGCAGAAAGCAACCTTTCATGGCGGCGGCAAAGAGCAAGAGAGCAAGGGAGGGGTAGCAGCAGCTCAAACAGCTAGCTTCTCTTCCCACCTTACATTGTAATGCAAATTATCTGCCCCAGGGTAGGGGAAGTACTCACACCTATGGGTACTTCCCAGTATTTACCCACCTGTGGGTAATCCCAGCAGTACTAAAACCCATAATCCTAGCCTTGGATCACACATAATCCCAGTGGATCATGAGTTAACACAGACGCTAGAAGTCCTCACCCCATGACTGCATGAGGCTTTGGGAGGACAACTAGACACAAACCATAACAGTACTTTTTTTGCCTGAAATTATATTGTTGAAAGATCAGTTTCCATAATATATTTATTTAGAGTGTTTTAGAAAAAAGTCATCATATGTGAGCGTGATAGTGCATGCTTGTGATCTCAGCATTTGGAAGGCTGAGGCAGGAGAATGACCATGAGTTTTGAGGCCAGCCTGGGTTACAGAGTAAGTTCAAGGCCAGCCTGAATTATGCAGTGAGACTATGTCTCAAGAAAATTTTATATTGGGCATTTATAAGACCTGTAGACATGTTGGTGTCTTCCTGTAATCCCAGCACCCTGGGAGGCTGAGGCAGAATTGTAAGTTTCAGTCCAACCTGGACAATTTAGTGATTTAGCCAGATCCTGTCTCAAAAAATAAGTTGGGATATAATAGCTTAGTACAAAGGCTGTGGGCTCAGTTCTGAGTACAAACCAACAAACAAACAAATGAAATAAAACCCCACCACCCTCAGTTTAATGATTTATTACAAGGCCTCACAGGACTCAGAAGAGCTGTTACTCTCATGGTAACAGCTTAATTCAGTGTAGGGCTGAAGGGGAAGCTTTCCTCATCTGAGTTTCAATGGAATGAATAGATAGAAAACACATTAAATAAGAGACCAGATAAACATGTTTATTTATTTATTTATTTACTTGCTTGCTTACATTT